ACATGGGCTTAAGGCAAGGATGTGTGGAATCAACCGGGCCAGGCTGGGGCCGACTGGGGCTACCCGGCCCGGGCTGACCCGGTACAGATGGGAATGGCCCATTAGATGATATAAAGATGACCCCATAGCCCCCTTTTTATGACCATTAAAACCAAAAAGAACTGTTATCCGTTTTTAAACACTACATTGGTACTCAAGTGGGAGTTAAGCTCACCGCAATCAACAATTGAGGCATCAGTGAAAGGCCTAAAATATACTGCCTCTGTGTTATGTTTAAATATATGTGTTACAGTTGTTGCTTTTTGTCTCAGAAATCGGACGCTGCAGTGGACAATAAGTGGCTGTGTCTCAATTCAGGGTCTGCATCCTTCGAAGGACCCAGCCCACCCGGCCGACGTGGGCTGCGTCCTCCGTCGGCCGGGTAGACCGGATGTTAACGGCTGTGAATTTGGACAGGCCTAGCCTTCATGAATTCCCGCCTCTCCCTCGGCGAACGTTCCGTCGCCTAGCAACCGTGGAACCGCGCTGAGCAGAAGGGAGAAGGAAAATGGTAGCGCTTGAAGCATTATTGAGCTTTTTAATAATTTCCTTGCTTCTGGAGGAGTTACAAGAGATGTATCGACGGCGAAGGCATTTTATATTGCTCAGGCTGAGAAGCAACAATGAACAGGCATTGTATTTTCTATTAAGTAGCCTTTACCTATCGGCTATAGCTAGCTTACTGGATAGTTTTAGCTACTTCTTACAGGTTGCAAACATACTCCGTATTAAAATCGAACCTTATACTCAAATACAACTTCAAATCTTTTATACTTACTCAACTACAAAAGCTCCCCACCAAAAGAGTTACTCAAGTAAGAAGAAAAACAATGTGAAAATGGCTTACATAACAAATAAATCATTCTAAAATATGGATGTCATTAAATAACAAATAACTGTAAGCAGAAAGAGTACATTACACTACCTGTAGAAGGACATCTAGTGAACGAAAATAAAAACTTTTTATATGACTTACAAAACTTAATTATGGACAGCACTTTCAAAACATAATTGATCTTTTGGTCTTCATTGCATACATTGTTCAAAAGTTAATTTTTTAGAATTGTGAAAGAATACCATGAATATGTACAATATTATCACATTTACAATTACAGCTTTGAAATAAAACTTTATTTGTTCTGTATTTCTCTTTAACCAGACTAGACCCAGATACTGCAGGATTAACCTGAGTGTCCCAGTCCTGGACCGTTTCTTCAACCAGCAAGATCCGAGACCAGACTTTCGTCTGAGCAGGGAGTCCCTTTCAGTGCTGCTGAATCTGCTGAACCAAGATCGGCGTCATGGTTGGGGTGCCACAATTGAGACCCTGGTGTTTCTTTTCTGGTTGTCAAGTGGAGCATCTTACAGGGTGGTCTCCAGAGCGTTCGGGATACCTCGTTCGACTGTCCACCGCATCGTCCACAGAGTCACGGAGGAGGTTGTGGCCATTCGCCACCAGGTCATCCACCTTCCAAAGACCCCTGAAGACCTGGAGGTGGTGTCCCAGGGGTTTGCAGGGCTGGCACGGCACAGAGCTTTTGTTAAAGCTGCAGGTGCCATCGACGGCTGCCACATCAGGATCAAGCCTCCAAGCGGCCCTGATGGTCACTGCTACAGGAACAGGAAACTGTTCCCCTCTATCATCCTGCAGGCTGTGTGTGACCATCAGGGCCGCTTCATTGACACGTACGTGGGCTGGCCGGGGTCGGTGCACGACTCCAGGGTGCTCCGCCACAGCCCCCTGAACAGGCAGTCAGTCTACCCTCCTCCAGGGCACTTCATCCTCGCAGATGGTGGGTACCCATGCCTGCAAAGCCCACTCCCACTCATCACTCCCTACAAACGTGGGAATCTAGGTGTGGCTGCCCAGCGCTTTAACAGCCATCATTCCAAGGCACGCTCTGTGATAGAGCGTGCTTTTGGAATGATGAAAACCAGGTTCAGAGCCATCTTCCTGCAAGCGCTAGAGGTCCACCACACCTTTGTGCCTCACGTAAGTGTACGAAATATTGATTTTCACATTTCTTTGAAATAAATTTAAATTAATTATTTTATGTATTACAGGTTGTTACCGCTTGTGCCATCCTCCACAACATCTGCCTCAGTGCTGGAGACTTTGTGGTGGTGGAGGATGAGCCTGAGGAGGATGGTGGAGATGATGAGGGGGAGGCTGGCTTGGAGGATGTCAGCGGTGCACGCTGGCGGGACCAGCTGTGCTGTGAGGTGTCTGCCCTGGAGGAGGTTCCACTGGACCATGACTACTGTTAACAGGTAACACATGAATGCATTTTTTTAAATAGCCTAACATTTCACCAATAGTATGTAGATTTTGTATTTATTATCTCCTATTTGTCTATTTATGTTTCAGTCTTGGTCATGTAGCAGCCGTCGACAGCCAGCCCTGCAAACCGATGGACGATACAGTGGACAGTCAAGATGAATCTTGAAGCCCTCTGCAGACCACCCAGTAGGATGCTTCACTTGTCAACCTGAAAAGAGCAGCCACGGGTCTCAGCTCCAGCACTCCATCCATGAGTCATCTGTTCAGCAGATCCAGCATCCCTGTTAGAGACTTCCTGCTTAAGTTTTTGAAACGGTCTTGGAACAGGACACTCAGGTTAATCCTGCACCTTATATTAGATTTTTCTATTTTGTATGTTTCCCTTAAATATTTTGTGTATATATGTTCAAACATGTTGGATCTACGTTTTTGTAAATAAAACTATTAAGTTTGATCCATTTCTGCATTATTTTCTATATTACATTATTTGTTTATTACATTTAACAATACATGTTAAGGAAAATAATCTTCAAGTTCATTTTAATACTTTCTCAAGACATTCTCAATATTTTAATATTGCTTTTAGAAGCAATTCAAATGCACCCACAATAGGCTGTTTTATGTTTGTTTTTTTAAATTAAAATGATCAAAATAACGCACTAAAACAATGTTTTTGGGACTGTTGGAGAGCTAATTCAGAGAAAATAGTTTGTAAAGCTTAGCCTGAGCAAAGATGTGATAACAGTGTTTAATACTTTCTAAGGGTCTTAATTTGACCCAAACCGATTGATCACCTTTTAAGACTTTTCAAGGCCCAGTGGATACCCTGTAATATTAAACAATTCACATTTGTAAACAAAAATAAACTTCAAGAGTTTAAGAACTGATTTTATTTAGATTATAACATTTGTTAGATACGGCTAATCTTTACTTATCATTTTTTCAAGCAGACTAAAAAGCTTCCCAAAAGTCTCCCTTCTCTCCTGTTCCCTCTGCTGCTCTGCCTCCCTCTGCAGCCTCATATCTTCTCTGATGAGCTCCAGAAGCTGGTCATCGCTGTCCCTTCTCCTTTTTCTTGCACCCTGCTGACTTCCTCCTGGCTGACCATCTTCATCCTCACTCTCCTCCCTTTCCTCCACTGCTGTACTTGGCCCTGGAGTGTCCTCACGGATAGAGGCAATTAGGACAGGCGGACTGATAGAGGGTCTCTGTCCTAATAACTCATCCATGAGGTCAAACCAGGGCCAAGTAGCAGCAGTGGGCTTCCCACTAACCCCCTCTCCTGACCCTGGATACTTGCAATCCTAGGTAAAAAAATAAAATTATGTCATTTTACACAAATACCAACAAACCTGTTTAAACTTTTTAGATTTAGCATGTATTCATGTTATATTTTTCCACACACATCTACATACTTTTTTTTTTTTTCTTTAAATTATCCCATTTTTTTTTTGGCCTGGATGGGGGTCACCTTCCCCTGGATGGACATTTTCTCCAGAATACTCCTAACATGTAAGAAAAAGAAACAGGAAGAGAAAAGATAGAGAAAAGGAGGACAACGGATTATTCCTTTCATGTTTTGGCAGAAAAAAATGAACTCAAACGAATTTTTAAATAAAATATGACATACCTCCATGCCACAGACGCCGAATGCTTTGCTCCGGTGAACATGTGGTCCATCTCCGCTCGAAGCTTTATGAATTCTTGGGTTTTGTCTTTAGTCCCTAAAATATTAAAATCATGGTGAAAACGTAGCGGGAGAAGTGCGACACCGAGCGGCCGAACATACGTGCCAAGACCGCAATACAAGCACTTCTACGGTAACATTTCTAACGAAAAATGTTCGTGTATAAAAAAAAAAGCCCTTACCCTAACAGTTTTCAAGTTTATACTTACATTTATACGTGCTATCTTCTCCAACAGCTCCCGCTTCACTGTCCGCCATTGTTGTAAAAGTTTTTCTGCCGGCCGGCCCGCAAGGCATCTTGGGAAATGCTACCTGTTGAAGGATACACCCGACCCATCCTTCATTCAGGCGAAAAGAAGGCCGCATTCGTCGACCGCATTTGAAGGAGTCTTCGAATTGGGACAGGCCTAGTCGCGGCGCTGTGACGTAACCGGCCGACGAATCCGGCCGAGGTAGGATGCAGACCCTGAATTGAGACACAGCCAATAAGTGCTTTACCTCCTCCTCCTACCTGCACAGCTGCACTCACTTGGGTTGATCACCTCCTGAGCAGCATAAAAGGGAGAGCTGCCAGGGGTAAGGGAGAGACTGGATCTGTGCCAGTTCTCTCATGTGCGCCATTTGTTTGTGTTTTAATGGCTTTTAAATGGATGTTAGTTCTTTAAGCTTAGTGAAGCTTAAGAGCTTTTAGAGGTTTTTAACAGACAAGGGACCAGAGTGCTGGATTCGTCTTGGCTCCCAAACTTGTGTGTAAGTCAGCGGACTTTGATTGTGAATGTTTGGGAGCATTCGGATGTCTGTTTTAAACATAAACCCATGGCCATTTTAACAATGTGTTTTAAGTACTTTTAGATTTGGAGCTTTTTGTCATTTCAAAATCATTTTAATAAAATCAATGTTTACGATTTCCACACCTGAAACACTTGCCTCTGTGTGGACGTAACAATATGCATGAAGTTCTCAGCAATCCAAATTTTAATTTCTGTTGAACAATCTAAACGTTTTTTAATAGTCATTTATTCATTTGTTCATTAAATTATTCATTTAGCACCTTCTATGACCTGGAATTGGACACAATGTTAATGAAGGAGAATCCCCAGAGGAGTAGGGGATATACTGCAAACAGAAGGGGAACTAAAACAGAGTCCTGAGGCACGCCCCAGTGGAGTCCCACCCAAGGAGAGGAGGATTCACCCATCCTAACACAGAAGCTCCAGCCCTGAAGGTAGGAACAGAGCCACTGGAGGGTTGGTCAGTGATCCCCACCCAGTGCTGCTGTCAGATGACCATCAGACTTGTCCAGTGTTAAACACAGCTGGCAATGAAAAATAAACTAAATACCATGCTTGCACAAGAAGCCACCTAAGGACATAATGTATACAGAGACTAACAAAGGTCCAAATATCGAACTTTTTAAAATCCCACATGGCAGATGTTCATATCTGAATAAGCCTAAGCCCAAAACCTAAACTTAAGTGAACACATTCCCCCACAATGTTCATAAAAGAAAATAAGAAACAATTCAACATCCTACAGACTTGCGTAATTGAATAATGAGTTTATTGAGAAATGGACTATATCAGTGGTCTTCCTCAGAGCTTCAGAAAACTATAGTGTTAGTTGAAACATTGACAAATACAAGGCAAAAACAACTTTTTGCTGTGTTAAAAAAACAAGTAACACAGTTAGATGAAATACAGAGTCAACATACAATAGAGAATGTGACAATGCCGGCATAACTGCAGACGCAGTACTGTTCCGCCTGTTGATCTCGCCAACACATTCTCACACCCGAAGTGGCAAAAACTGATGATGGGTGACCAAGCGTTTGTTTCCAACACGTTGGGAGTCCCAACACGTTGGGAGGCACCGCGCGGTGCCAGAGCGTAGGTTTCTGAAGCCCACGTGTGCATGCAAATTTCACCAACATTTAACCTCTAACCTCTTGCTATTTAACCTTCCCCTCACCCCCATCCTAACCTTAACTCAGTTTCCCATTCTAAACTTCTTGTTAACCATGTTGGAGAGGGACGTTTTAACTAGGAACAAAGTTTTGCATGCACACGTGGGTTAAGGTTAGGATAGGGGTGAGGGGTGACAAAGAAAAGGCCACAATTTGGAGAAATCTCCGTTTTACCGCGGGTGTTGGAAAATGACGCTCTGGCACAGCGCATCGCCCCCCAGAATGTTGGAAACAAACGCTTGGTCAACCATCGTCTTTTAGCCACTTCAGGTGTGAGAACGTGTGGATCTCGAGCTCCATCTTTCCCTCAGTCATGTACAAGACCTCGAGATACTTAAACTCCTCCACTTGGGGCAGAACCTCATCCCTGACCTGGAGAAGGCATTCTACCATTTTGCGACTCAAGACCATGATCTCAGATTTAGAGAAGCTGATTCTCAGAATGGTGTAATTGATTGTTAAATACTAAATGCATTCATTTTGTAGATTCTCACACCGTTTTTCGCAGTTTTTTTCTTATCTGGATCGTGCTTATTCTTTTACATATAGGCTCTGCTGGGCTTTGATGCCACATAAGCTTTCATTATTTTCTGTTACAGACTTAAAGTGAAGTAGGAAGCATGCAAATGTTCTATCAGCCTCAGTTAATCTCTGATCAACAATGTGGTCCCTTGAAGATGGGCATACATCCACGTTTAGGATTACTGACACTTGGCTTGATTTAGTTGCTCCTTCTCATCTTGGCTTTGGCACCTTGTAACCAATTAAGCCAGGATGCTCTGACAAGGCTTGGTCAAGCTCTGCTTTCTTCCCACTTCCTGAATTACTGGATTCTACTTTGCTGTAAAGGCTAAACCATTGACAAAAAGGTGTGAATATGTGGGTTGTGGATTGTTCTGCTTTGATTGGTTCCCACTCACAACCAAACAAATAAATCATTGGACAAATCACAAAGATGCAGCTCCAACTGTAGACCAACTCAAAGTTTTTAGATTGGTTTCAAGATTATAAAATCACAAGAGCCGTTTAAGAATAAATGCAAAACTACATTTTGATGCTGTGGCACTGGTTGTATGAACAAACCTGTCGCATGCAAACTTACATTTTTATTTCCAATAGGTATGTTAAAAACACACACGCAACCATAGAAATATGTCATTTGAAAAAAGTGCAGCATAGAGCAAAACAATGGATTCATCTGTTGTTGACTGGTGTTATTCACAAACACTTAACTTTACTTGACACAATTTTATTTTTATTTAAACATGAGCTCAACCAGAAATGTAGACATTACATGTTCATTTGAGATAACACATCACTTGCATTCAAAAATGTATTTCATGGTAGGAAAACATGTAAAATAATCTCCAAACACAATATTTTGCATTGAAACAGCACTATTACACTTTCATCAAAAGATGACTCATCAGCATGTTGGTCAAAATTCTTTTTAGGTTCCCTTTATTACTCTTGTTTGACTTGAATGAAGGCTAAAGGTCATAATTCAGTTTCCAAGTGTTTTTATGAAAAGAACATAAAACAGAAGTAAAACAAAACTAGAAAAATGCTTCTGTGGTTCCTTGACAATTTGGGTAATAATGCAGTAGAAATGTTCAATCTTATTTGTAAAAGCATTAATTAATTTAGTTTTTTAATTAAATCATTTGCATTAACATTGCTACAGTGCTGTGCCAAGCATGGTGAAATCAGAATAATCTAGCATACTGTATGTGGTAAATGAACAGGTATTACCTTTCATTATGGCAACTTAAGGCACTCCTTTATAATGAATGGTAATTAGACAATTAACAGTTATTGGAGAAGCTGTATGCCAGCAGAATATAAAAGGAAATGAAAAGCAGTACAATTTCAATGTAGCAAGCACAGAAGGGCTACATTTCAATCAATATAAATGCAAGTTAATGGAAAAGTCTGATTATTTAGCTTAATTTCTACAACCTTAGTCTTATTGTTTTTAAAATAGGTCATCCTTCCTGTTGAATATAAAACATGTATTTTGCATTCAACAAAACATAAGACTATTTAAAACAGGCATAAATGCCCCATTTCTTTGTTGAATTTGTGAAGAATGTATGAAGGACACTAATACAGTAAGCTAGTCCTCTCCCAACAAATTTTAGGAAATCACTATCCAAAGAAACAGGATGTGAACAATGTGTTCAAAATAAAACATGTTCTCCTTGTGGCTGTCTTCTGTATTAGTCACTCCATGCAAATAAGTGGAACATTTTCTTGGCTAAAAAATAACAATACATTTCAGATAATTTTTTTCTGATTTTGACTTTTGTTCATTTTCATAGTTCTTATCCAGATGTTGCATCTCCAAATACAATATTTCCTAACATTTTTTTAAACAATCAGCTCCACATGGCAGCTCTTTTTAATCCTCTCAGGCTCAAAACAAGTTTTGATGAAAGGACGAACAACTAAGTTCTTCAGGGGTACTTCTGAGTTAAAAAATGCTCATGAAATACGTATGTGGAGTAACCAGGTAGGTAGGTTTTAACTGTTGCAAATCTGCAATGCCTACCTCCAGAGGGTTAACGGGGCATCATGGCTTCACTTTTGAGGAATACAAGTGCATTAGTGGAATTAGAATGGTCATTACCATAAGCCTATGCACTGAGTGGCAATGCAATGCAGTTTAATTATGATGCACATTTAGGATTTGTCCAGGCTTTACCTGTAATTACATACATGTTAAATGTGTCTCAACATGCATTTTATGGTTTCAGCAAACATCCATTAGGCTCAAATCGCATTAAAATAGTGGGCAAAATAGGTCATGTGATCTGACCAAAATTATGACAGTAAGACCAAAGAAACATTGAAAACATCTAAAATATGTTCATGAGAAATGAAGGAGTTTTTTTCTGTCTATATGAGTCTACCACAACATACTGCAAAGTGAACCTAAAATAGCATATATTAATGAAAAGCCCAGAACATGATTTTGGTGAATCTACAAGCAAATCCACATATGTGCTATTTTCATATAAGAAAACAAAAGAGGTAAAAGTGGTACAACTGCTTGCCGTTATAAAACAATTTTTCCACAGGAACAATTAGCATTTATCTGATCCATATTGACCATTCTTTGGATTTCACAACACGTACATTTCACACTTCTAAAAAGATTGTTTTTGCTCCATGGGACTTCTATACTTTAATTTATATTTCCCTTCATTCAGTTAGACGCCATTGGCTTTATTGACTGAAGTATTGCTGTCTTGTTTATTACTTTCCTCGGCCTTCATGGCTTGCTCAAGAGCCTCCGCCATAGGAACCTTGTCCTCTGCTTCTGTCTCTCTGTGGTAGAAGTAGTTAAAGTTGGAAACGATGACAGGAACAGGCAAAGCAATTGTCAACACACCTGCTATGGCACACAAGGTGCCCACGATCTTGCCTGCCAGGGTTATGGGGCACATGTCTCCATATCCTACAGTAGTCATGGTGACCACTGCCCACCAGAAGCCTTCGGGTATACTGACAAACTGTGTGTTAGGCTCATCTACTTCAGCAAAGTAGATGGCACTGGAAAAGAGGATCACTCCAATGAAGAGGAAGAAGATGAGCAGACCAAGCTCACGCATGCTGGCCTTAAGAGTCTGACCCAAGATCTGTAGTCCCTTGGAGTGTCGTGACAGTTTGAAAATACGAAACACTCTGACCAGGCGAATGATGCGCAATATAGCCAGAGACATGTTTTGTCCAGTGTTCTCTTCAGGTGTTGTGGCCAATTCTGTGATCAAAGTTACAAAATAAGGGATGATGGATATAATGTCAATGATGTTCATGAGGTTGTGGAAAAACTCTCTTTTGCTTGGACACACCACAAATCGAACACACAGCTCAAAGGCAAACCAAGCGATGCAGGCAGTCTCAATGAAGAAAAAAGGGTCAGATAATGTTTTGAGCTTTGCACCAGATGGAGAAGCAGTGGGGTGGAGTTTTGATTGGTTGAACTTCACTGCTGTGGGAACAACTGGATCAGAATCATCTCTGAAAATTGGCAGGGTTTCCATGCAGAAAATAATGATGGATATGACAATGACTAGGACTGAAACCAGAGCAACACCTCGTGCTGCATTGGAGCTCTCTGGGTACTCAAACAGCAGCCAGAATTGCCTAGCAATGTCATTTTTAGGCAGTGGGATATCAACATCTTTAATGAATCCCTCGTCTTCTCTGAACTGCTCCATGGCCTCGCTCCCAAGCTCATAAAATACAATTTCATCTGCAAACACATCAATGGGAACATTTGCTGGTCTTCTGATTTTACCTCCAGATTGGTAGTAATACAAGATCCCATCAAAACTTGGTCGATTTCGATCAAAGAAGTATTCGTTCCTCATTGGATCAAAGTAGTCCATCCTCTTCAAATGGTCTCCGAGAAGTGTGTCAGGGAATTGGTCCAGTGTTTTAAGTTGTGTCTCAAAGCGTAGGCCAGCAATGTTGAAAATAATCTTCTGGTCACCATCATCCAACCCTTGCCTATCTAGAAACAGCTCCTCGCAGCACTCTTTAGTAAGTCGACTGAAGATTGTCTCACTCTCCTTTGCTCCTTCAGTATTTAACAGCAACTTCCAGTTAGACATCATGCTGGCACAGCTAGGATGACCTTTTCTGTTTGGGGATGGTATTGTTGGGGACTGAGGTGCTCCCAGTTTCTGTGGTGGAGGAACAGGTGAAGATGAGGTGGATTCCCAAATGTAAGAGGTCACAGGGTTATGAAGGCAAGGTGTTGAGGACTGTTGAGGAGTTCGTAGGAGGTAGTTGATGTCTGGGTTGCTGTGCTCTGAGGGCATGTCTGCTGTGAGAGCTGTTGTCTCATTGGCATAGGTGTCCACCTCATCTTCAAGGCTGCCATCCATTTCCTCAAGGCTTTCAAAGTCGACCAGCGCCACCTCCATGGCTGTAATTCAGCCAGCGTAAAGCCTTGGACAACAAGGGTAAGACAATCTCACACTTACGCTGGATGACAGATGGGTGGCTCATCCATGAAAATAAGGAGCAGCATCAGTTTACCAAGTACTCAGTGAGTCTCACAGGACAAACCAAAAACTGCTTTTATTCTCCGCTTCCTGTCAGTACCTATGAAATAGATACAGAAAGAAAAAAAGTCAGTTGTTGAATTTTTTTTTGTCAGCAGCCCATTTACATGTTTTCTGGTTGCAGGAAAATTCTAAATCAAGTTAATCAAACTATCATAGTTCTGGTTTGAAAGGTACCAATCTATGTTTTGGAAAAGGTTCAAGGTAAAATAGAGTGAAATAAACAAGCCAGGCAGGAACAAGAGAGTGTTGTAGGGGAACATTTCACTTTTTGATATTAAAAATGCTGTTATTGTGTAGCTTCTCTGAAAGGTCGTGTAATTGTGAAAATAACAGACTGAAAAAGCAATATTTCATTTCTAGAAAGGATTGGGTTCATAATGAATCCTTAATTTGTTTCACAAAATATTATCAACTTCAACAAATACACAACATATCTTCAGAAAAACCAGTAATAAAACCCTTTAATGTTGAACGTTTACATTACATATCCAAAGAAAACATTAACTTTAACACAGAGCTTCAAAAATACCCCATCAAAGTTGGATCAAACATTTTTTGTGACTGAAGAATTGTCAGTATCACTACAATTAAATAACATTTCATTGTATCAGTTGCAATGACAATCAATTATGATAAAGAATGACTTACAGACATTTCAACATTTTCAACAGCCTTGCTAGTTTTCTAAATGCATCACTCTTCTAGTACAATAAGTAAAAAACAATTTAGCTGTTTCACATTCAGCCATCTTCAAAGGTTTACAGTGAGATGAAAAACTTTCATTCAATATTTTATTTTCCCCCTAATGTAAACCAGTCTATTTGTTTTAGTTTGTGTATTCTTACGGTCACTACGAAAATGTTTCCATGTGGCACCAGATACCCCAGTGCAATCGCCTGGAAAGCATTCCCAAATGTAAATACTGTACATAGTGTGGCCACAACCTAAAGACACAACCTAAAGACACAACCTAAAGACAGAGTTCAGTCATGGGGCGGAATCAACAATTGTCTTTCAAATAGTGATCTACCGATATGATGTTTTTGGGCCGATACTGATATCCGATATTAAGATCACTGTTATGACTGATAACCGATATTTACTGATACCAATATACTGACATTAATGCTTCTAAAATCAGCAGATTTTGCATAGAATGAAAAATTTTAAAGCTGAATTTACATTATTATGTACAAACATCACACACATTTACACTCCTGAGATGGTTAAAATCACTGTCACTTGACTGAACAAATACACATCAGCCCCCTCACCCTCTGAAACTGATAAACAAATGGAGACAATATGGAAAAAATATTCGTTGTTAATATCGGTCCAGTTTTATTTATCGGACCGATACCGATATGTTAAAAAACGACTAACATCAGCCGATACCGAGATTGATGCCAATATATTGTCCATCCCTACTTTCAAATTGTCTCCACACGCAATTTGACAGTGCTAAGACCAATCAGAGCAACAAACGAGACATATTCATCACTATGGAAATCAGTCAACGGGGCAATCCATAATACACCATCAAAGTAGAAGAAGCAAATACATTCTTTTTTTAACCCTCCCACTGTCTTTATGGGTGACCCCATGAGGAAAGTTGACCATTGAGCAGGATTGATGGTTTATCCCTTGAGGTTCACGTGGCAGGGGTGAGGTGGTGCTCACACCTCACCCCTGCCACATGGACACAAGGGATAAACCATCAACCCTGCTCAATGGTCAACTTTCCTCATAGGGTCACACCCAGTAGGACAGTGGGAAGGTTGAATAAGGGATTTAAACACCTCTATCTTCTTATGTCTCAAAGAAAAGCCCAAGTCTAAATAGTCCAAAGTTGATGCCAAGGCCGTTTCAAATGAGCACTTTTCTGAGTGAACCCCATCTTTGTAGTTTTTTGCCATAGCTCTGGTGAAAAGCCTGCCTAATGTGAGCGCTGTGATTGGCCCAACCTAAAATTGTTCAGGCTAATGGTAGACCTGCTGAGGCTACAATGGAACGTGGCTAGACCGACCTGCAGAGCTCCTGCCATGATTTGTATAGATTTCAAGGCTACCAGTCACTCAAACTACAGAGCCTACCTCGTATTTAAATTTTAATTTATTGACACAAGAAGGTGCAAATGCTAAATTAAATGAAAGTCAAGGTGCACACTCTGTGATGACCCCAATAGAGGCTGTGGTAGGAGTGGTTCATGCAGGGTAACTGGGGCTTTGCATAAATTAGTGCATAATTAACTGGCTGAGCAGTGATAACTTTGCCTTGCCTTCTTCCAGACACCACATTTAAAATACATCCTGTCATGTGGTTTTCAGGGGCTGTGAGAAGACTGAGTTATCTACTAAACTTGTTTGAACATCTTTTTGCGTGTTTGTGCATGTGTGTGTGTGTTTATACACTGCATGTGTGACTAAGTGTGTGATTGAGATGTCTGCAGATGTTTAATTAAAGACTTCAGGATGAGTCAGCACCTACAAACCAGAAGCAGTGATTCCATTCCTGCTCTACCAGAAACAGACAGAAAGAAAGTGAAAAAGAATGACATGAAAATTATTGGGAAGATGAAAGCGGGCGGTAGGATGAGGATAGTGGTGCAAAAATGGGAAAGTGACAATGAGACAGGATGGGAGCTGTTGGGTGGGTGGATGGTTAGACAGTATGATGAGAAAGGACCTTTAAGATGGGGGGGGGGGGGGGGGGCATTCATCCTGGGCAAAGGAACAACGAACAATGACGAGACAAAGGGTACAAAAGCCATGACTTACTGGGAGTTGAATCCGTCTCATTCACATTTCCTAATGTAACCAAGTATCCTGTCAATATCTGTAAACTACTTAAAACTTATATTTTGGTTTCCATTGTCTGCAGCTCAGCTCTAGAATAAAAGAAGAGCTAAAACTTGCTGTTTTTAGCGCAGCTCTATGTGGTAAGCCATCTGCCAATAAAAGCTTTCATTTGTCTAATAAAATCTGGTTGTAGATTCTTCTTATGTTTCCTATTAAACTGATGTTTTATGTGGAAATTCAGACTGTGCTGCTATTATATACGATATATTTTTTTCTTTATGCTTTTTCGATTTCTTATTCGATCGTTTGTGTCTTAAGTAATTGTCCTGTTTGGAATAAAGTTTGATTGAAGGCGCAATTAACAGATAACATAGTAGTAGACAAATTAGAACACATGGATCTCAACTTTAAAATGAGTTCAAAGTAAGATTATATCAATTGTATAACTGAAATTATATAATTTAAAAAATAAAATGTTATAAAAAGTGAGTCAATAACAATACAACCTATTTCCTTCAACACAAACCATGAATAAAAACAATAAAAGTCTCCTAATTCCCTTACTGAAGCATCAACATTTGCTCCTCAGTCTTATCAGGTAAATCATAATAGACACATTTTGAATGTGCACACCTATTCATACTGCTCTTGATGCACACGGTGAAAACTAATTGGATTCTACTTCTCTGTTCAATTTACTTTTGAGATCTTTGATATAAAATAAACTGATAAATGGTCTAAGTGCTAAATTGATGTTCAAAATTCTCTCAAAAATAAAATATAGTCAACATACACCTTACCTTTGTAACACGACGTTAGGAGTTTTAAAATATAGCAAAACAAGGATTGTTTTTCTTCACATATTACTCCTCCAGCAACTTCCTGCTACCTTCTCAGCCAGAATCAGAATGTCTTATCTTTCAGGGACTCCTCTGGGTAACCTTATGCTTGAGTAGAAACTAGAGCTGTGTCAAAGGCCAAATGTATATACACACACACACACACACACACACACACACACACACACACACACACACACACACACACACACACACACACACACACACACACATTTCTACGCATGCAGAAAAAGACAATACAACCCTCAGAGAAGAATGGTTGAAATCAATGAGTATCAATCCGACAATTAAAGTGTAAAAGTAATAATAATAATTGTGTGTGTGTGTCTTTTGTTTATAATATGTTTAGGGGACATTTTTTCAGGTTTCACCTTCACTGGGGGGTCATTTTGAAACTGGGTTCAGTTGCCTGGTCCCCACAGTGACAAGCATCCTAAAACTTGATTTTAGAGGTGTAGTGTGAATTTTATTTTTGTTGAGGTTAAGATTAGGATTACACATGGTGCAGGTTAGGCTGACCCCCTTAAAATGAATGGAAGCCTCAAAAGTGCAGCAATCCAACAATGTGTGTGTGTGTGTTTGTGTGTGTGTGTGTGTGTGTGTGTGTGTGTGTGTGCATGCGTGCGTGCGCGCGCGCATGTGTCTGTTTCAAACCATCTCTTCCATCGATCATAATGGGCAATGTGAGATCGCTGGCCAACAAGATAGAGGAACTCCAAGCCCTTTCAAGGACTCAGCCAGAGTTTCGGCAGTTTCGAACTGCTGGAGGAGATAATACAAAGAAGGATTCTCCAGAGAATCAAGAAAATGATGGACAACCCTGACCATTCTCTTCCCTAGACTGTCCGACAATGGAAGAGTGTCTTCAGTCAGAGGCTTCTTCAGTTTTGCTGCAACACTGACCGCTACTGGAGATCCTTCCTGCCAACAGCCATTGTAATATACAACAACTCTTTGATGACTTGATTATTATTATTATTCTGAGCTACTACAGCAATCAATTTCCCTCTGGGATTAATAAAGTATTTTTGAATTGAATTGAATTGAATTTATATGTGTCTATTAGCCGTCAATCAGAGACCCAAGAGTTGTGCTCAAGGACTTCCAGACTGGAACGATGTGATTAGATCCTCTGACGTCTCCACGGTTGACTTACTTTCCTCACACACACACACACACACACACACACACACACACACACACACACACACACACACACACACACACACACACACACACACACACACACACACACAGTATCACCATTACTATTTAATATCCAACAGCACGATTCACTTGTTGAACACAGGTGGGTAAAGACAACAATTAAGATCATTTCCCCTCTTTAGTAGAGCCTTTCACTTTCAGCTCTACTCTTTATTATCTGTTTATCTAGGTATTTAACTTTCAGCTCAGTCAAAGCAGCTCACCTTAAGAATATCAGTCTTTAACGACTCTGAGTCTAAATTACTGTGTAAAATGTTCCATCATTAATGCAGAAAAACAAGTCATTTGAGCTCTTAATGGGGCCTCTTTTTGTTTGAAGCTACTAAGAAAGTCACCTTGTAAGCCAGTCTACCATGACTGTTAGAATACAAAAAAATATTTGAGTGAGTCAATTTGGCTCTAACACTTACCATCTTATCTTATGATTTCATTGCTTTGTGTCTGCAATCTTGCTTGTTTTTTTAAATCCAAATGTTTGATGAAGTTTCTTTCTCTCAGTTATTTTCATGACCTAGAACCAACTTATAATCAACATTTACCAAACACTTTTTTTTGGCCTGTGTCAAACCAGGGTGTATGGGGAAATCTTCAACACACCCAAGAATGCAGCAGAGAATCAAACTGGACATGTTGTTAATGTTATACAGCAATGTCATGGTAAAGACTTGTTCAATAAACAATGAAGTTAGTTATTGGTTTCTTTAAAGTCTCTAAGATAATAAGGTTTTAAGGATTACAGTTGTTCAGTACATTTGTGGCTAAAAATAGTTCCCTTGTGGAAAGAAAACATCACATGAGTAAAAAATTTAAACGCATATTAAAACTGAGAGTACTTGTACCGTATCCCTTCCTGTAAATACTTTAAATCTGCAATAACAGAA